GGAATTAACTAACAAAGGGTCCTTGGGAAATTTTCGGGGAATATGGAAATGTTCTCTATTTGATTGTGGTGGGTAACCATGGGAGTGTATACATTTATAACTTACCTGAACATTCATTTTAAATGGGTATAGTTTTTTATAAAAATAGGGGGTTTTTATATCCTCAACGACATGCATTTTAAATCCATCATCTTTCTAATATGAATGAAAGGAGAAATGTTATCTGGAAATAATCAGTTCTTTCAAAATGATATGAGATTTATTAAAGTTAATTTGATTGGACATAGCATCTGACAAACTACTGTTCTTTCCAGATAATTAAGCTATCATCAGTTGCCCACTTGGGTAAAGAATAATATTGAAATAAGTCATTAAAAATAACTTGAAGAAAATATAACAAATTTCTAAGAGAAAAATCATATCTCTTGCTTTGGACAAAGTGACAGTCAGACCTTACACACACACCTGAGATTTTTCAAAATTCTAGACAGGGAATATATTAGCTTGAATTATCTCTGGTGTAGCATTATCACTTGAATGCTTAACCTTTCCTAGCGTTGCAGGCTCTGGGGAGGAAAAGAGTGAGTGGGAGAGTGTGTGCCATGGCTGGAAAATTATGCCAGAGCAGTACAGCTTGGGAGGTGAAGCCCACGAGGCAGACAAGGGCTGATCTAACCATTAAAGCTTTTCAAGCTGAGAACCCACAACCAAACCCTCTGTTAGAACCATCATTTAGATACAGTTTGGGGGTTAGGAAGGAGGTAGAATGAGCTGGAAGGCAGAAAAGTGTAGACAGAAAGAAGCCTCTACTTGATCATGAAAAATAGGAGAGATATACACTAAGGTAATGATAAGTGAGGCTGAGGCTGAACTGAGTGATATGTTTTTGGCAGAAATGGTGGGATTTGATGACTAACATGAGAAATGAGGGAGGACTCTAGGATGACTTTTTTTTTTTGAGCCAGGTCTTACTTTGTAGTTCAGTTTGGCCTCAAACTTGCTATCCTCTTGCCTCAGCTTCCCTAGTACTGGTATTACAGACATGCACCACCACACCTAACTTTTGATTGACAGGTTCCATCTAAATAACTGTGACATCCACCAAAATGGAGAGACAAGAGGAAAAGCAGGTTTGGTGAGTGTGTGAATGTAGAGACAGGAGTGGTCTGGGAATGGAGTCACAGATGGGAGAGTAGCTAAGTCATTTTCTGCTACTTTACTGAATATCACAGATTGGGTAAATTATAAACAATGGAAGTTTACTCAGCTCACAGTTCTAGAGGCTGAAAAGTACAAGATCAAGGGGCTGTATGGGGTGATGGCTTCTTGTTATGTCATAACATGGCAGAAGGACAAGAGAGGAAAGGCAAGGACAGACTTACAGCAAACACATTCCCTCAATAACAACATTAACCCATTCATGAGGGGGAATCATCTCTTAACGCTCTCACCTCTTTATACTGTTACAATGGCAATTAAATTTCCCATGAGTTTTGGAGAGACAATGCAAACCATAGTACATGGCTAAATTAACAATAAGCTCTCAAACTGTTGAAAATGAGCTAGAAATAGAACCCTGGAGAGCCCCCACATTCTCATGAGTAGGCAGAAGACAAGAGTAAGAAAGTGATAGAAAGTTGCATTCAAGGTAGTAGAAGGCAAATACCTCCTTGAAAGTGGAGGTAGTTAGCAACCATCAGACACTGAAAAGCCATCATGGATGAGGAATGTAGGAAGCCACAGTGACTTTTCCAAGAGTAGTTTCACAGAACACTGCAGACACAAATCAGAATGCTCTTAGGAATGAATAAGAAGTGAAGGAGCAGAGAAAGTCAGTGTCAATGACTTTGGCTATGAAAGGAAAGTGAATATCTGATCAATAAAAAAGGGGAAACACTTTAAGGAAGTGTTGTTTGGACCAGGTGCTGTGGCTCATACCTATAATACGAGCTACACAGGAGTTGGAGATTGAGAAGATCACTGTTTAAGGCCATCCTGGGCAATACTCTATCTCAACAAATAAGCCAAGTATGGTGATACACAACTGTAATCTCAGCTACTAGGATACATAAATAGGAAGATCACAGTCTAAGGCCCTCCAAAAAATAACTAAACCAAAATAGGTTAATGGGTGGGGGGGAAAGGGGGTTCTGAAGTGGTAGAGCACCTGCTTAGTATGAATGAGGCTCTGAGTTCAAACTCCAGTATCATTTTAAAAAAAAAAAGGAAGGGGAAGAGAAGAAGAGAAAGAAGAGTTGTTTGTTTTTGTGGTATGACTTAGGCCTGTTTTTCTGCTTATGTAGTAAGACTGATGGGGTATGGAAGAGTGATAACGTAAAGGTGTCAAAGGGGATGAGATCCAAAAAGGAAATAGTGGTGGAACTAGTCTAGGACAAGAGGAAGAGCTCTTTTTTCTCTGAACTGGAAGGAAAAGATGCAAGTGAACGTAGGTAAGTTGTTGGATGAGTGGTGAGGAGCAGAAAAAGTTAATGAAGTGCTGATTAAAAGGTGAGATACTCTGGTGAGAGGAGGCAGCTGATTACATGATTTTATAGAGCTTAAAGACAGCAATGAGTGTTGGAAAAAGTTCTGCTGAGGATGAAGTATAATTAGGGGCTCCTCCTATGGACTTGGAAATATGGGATAATGACTGTCACATAAAGACATTCTGATAGTGTACTTATTGCTTTATATAAAGCAATATTTCTTGGCTACCTTGTAGGAGGATAATACTTCAAGCTGCTTCCTGAGGAACACACGTATTTGGAATTCTTCTAATAACAGTGGAAATGGCCTTTAGTTCCCAACATTTTTTGTGCAGTCACTGTAAGGATTAAGAATCGTTAAATGTACCCTTGGAACAGAGTTTTCCTTCAATGTTACACTAACTGACCTAATCTAGGAGTTAAACTCCAAAATCTTAGCATATTGGCATCAGCCAGTGCCACGTTTACATATGACAGCATTCTATTTTAAACTATGATCTATGATCTGTTTTTACAATTTAAAAATTGTAAGCTACACTTTCATGTCAAATTTTCCAAAAGCTTGCATAACAAGCATCTGAAAAAGAATCTCATAAATGCTCCCTACTGGGGAAACTGCACATGCAACTACCTGTTTACATATGCAGCAACTTGAATTATACATGAAAATGCCACATGGATGCCCAGAATCAGCTCTGTGTTAATTCAAGAAGTATATTAATTTTTGGATGTATTTAGTAGCAGATCATAAGAAAAATCTGTTCTTTAAAACTAGGTTTTCTTTTTAAAAAATTTCTAGTTGGAATCCACTTATTTCAAGGAATCTACTCCTCCCAGAAAAAAATAATTTGATATAAATATTAATTTTATAATACATTAATGAGAAACAAAGCTTCAAAAAATCCTTAGAAACTCCATGCTCAGATTTAAAGAGCCTGAAAGACTGTACAATTTCCCTATCCTATAAAACTTGAGTCATACTGAAAATAAAATTTAAATGATAAATGTCAGTTGCAGAAGTTATCACCTTTTTATTTGAATGCTTGACTACTATTGGATAATTCTCTTCCAAGAGACCTTCTTGGGAAAAAGAGGTGACAGCCAACTCATTGCCTAATTGATTTAGGAACAGTGCCCAGGGAGACAGTCCAATTAAGTTTACAAGCTGGCAATTAGCAGGAAGCCCTCTAAATCCCTACACTGAGAGCCTGTTTACTTTAGTAAGAAGGCAAATGTGCTAGAGATAGGAAGAGAAAGCTGTGCTTTTTGCAAAGCTGTTGTGAGTAGGCCCACAAGGGAGGGCTGAAGAAAAGCTAGGTCTACGTGGGCAGAGAGCCTTCTGTTTGACAGGTAACTGAGTAATTTAAAGGGTGAGAGGGAGAGAGAACAGAGAGAGAGAGAAGGAAAAATATAAAAAGAAAGAGAGAAAGACACAGAAAGTGTGTGTGTTTTAACAGACATGCAAAACATCAAACATCCACTTTAATTAGTGTTGTGTATGGAGACATACAACTGTTAAACATGTAGTTGGGCAAAGTATAACTGGATTATCTCATAATAAATGAGATTCCAAACATTTTTTGAACAATATTAACATTATGAGTAGATTTTGCTGCATTTTTATTATGTAGAAGAAACATAGGCCTCACATTACATGCATTATATCTTTTAGCCTACTCAAGTCATTTTCACTAGATTTATTTCATGTCTTCAATTTCAGAAACAAGTAGACCCAAATAAAAACAAAGTAAATTGAAATCTGTTAAACACTAACATTTAACACTACAATGCCTTTAAAAACTTAATTTTGTATCACAGAGACAAATCTTATAAGAGATTTTAAAATGTATTTATTTTCCAATCTTTTCAACTAGCTATAATATGTATTAATTTTAAAAAAATGTAAACCTAAGTGAGGTCTCTCAGGAATGTTAATTTATACACAATTATCTGAGTAGTTTTTGCTATTTCAGGACATACCTGGTAATGTAAAGCTACAAAAGGCAGATGAATCATTACAGTAAAGTTTCATTTAAAGTTTCTTGGTTGAAATAGGCTACATTAATGTATAATTTTATAGATATTGATAAATCCTTTTGGATATTTCTATCTCAAAGGAAAACAAAGCCAAAAGTTGCACAAATTTTTGGCAAATTCTAACTAAATATCTGCCTTCTTTTCCTTTAAACATTTGCTGCACACAATTCCAACATGGGAAGCAAGAGACATGGACAATCTAAAATAATTTTTATAGAAAAAGCATTACACTCCTATAATATGGGATTTTTCAGTGGACACAGGAAGTGCTTTTTAAATTATCACCTATCAATATCTTAAGTAATGTTTTAGTAGGACAGTTGAAAATCATCCAGAGTCTCTTATAAGAAACTATATGAAATGTTTGAAAGGCAGTTTTATGGGATGACAAACAGAAAATCTACATTATAAGAATATCTTACTGCCTTAGTTATGTCACGATCATAAACATTGTACTTACCAACTTCCTTGACTTACCAAGTTTAAACAAAAGCACACCCAAAGGTCCTCTGTCAAACCTGAGAAAGAGGAGATCATAGATGTCCCCACTTTCAGGCTTCTGAGAAACAACTGGAGGAGCTATCCACTGCATTTGAACAAGGCTACTGGAAACATCAAAGAATTTATTGAATTGCAGAGTCTCCCTGGGTAGACGGTCTTCAGCCAAGAGCTGGATGTTAATAGGGGATAGAGCCATATCAAAAATTTGCAGCTCCCCTTGGTTGCTGCCAACTAGCAGAATGGCACCACTTGGGTGGCAGCTTATTATTGAAGGCAAAAGTTCAGCCTGGGCCAAGAGAGTCACTCCACGGTGAGTTTCATAAAGAATTACTGAAGAATCTCCACAGCCCAGAATCAGTTTGTCTTCAGTAACATTCCTGCAGCAGCTGATAGCCTTCGATCTTAGTGGTATTCTGGTGACTGACACACAGTGGATTTTGTTCCGAACACATTCATAGATACAGTTGTCAGCCATGGGCTCTTTGTCTACACTGATGGAGTGCTCCACTGTCAACACCTGATAAGGCTGTTTAGTGCCAAAGCGAACATCCAGTGGATCCCATTCTGTGCGAACAGAACTCAGAACCTGTAAGAAATGTGTCAAGTACATTCAGATAAACCTTTTTTTTTCTTTAGCTGTCCCACATAGGCTTGCATTTTAATTCAGAAACCTACCAAAGACCATTAATTATCACATTAGATATCAGCAACATATAGATATATAATAGTACATATAGTACATATATGTGCTATATATATATATATATCATGTGCTATATGTGCTATATATATATATATATATATATATATATATATATATATATATATATCATGTAGTGCACAGAGATATATATATATAGGGAGAGCACAGCTATAGGAATTAAACGGTAAGATTTTTAACTTGAACACTCTGTTTTGGAAAATCTATAAATCACTTACAGTTGATTATGTCCCACAATATATAAAAACTAGTGAGGTGGGCTTTTAGTAAAATAATATAGCTAGCAGATTATCTTTAAAAGTTAGAAATTGAAAATGAAAAATAAAATACTTTAAAGATTAGATAATCTCTTTTCTACCCACCACTCTTCCCAATTTTGAAACTGTTAAGAAGTTAGTTACCAGAAATATATTTCTAATTAGTAGGGCTGGGTAGGCCAAGGAAAAAAGCTTTAGAACCTTATTAACAGTCTTACAGAATTATTTTGCTATCAGAAAGGTTATGACAAATTGCTAAGTAGGCAAATGAACAACAGAAAGAAATAATGGTGTACTAGTTTTAAAATAAAATAAGACCTAGTAAATACTATGACATGTCAATATTTGTGAAGTAAAATTTTAAAACATCTTTAGTGCAGAAAGGAAAGGCTACCTGCCTACAAGAAACACCAATGCAGAACAAAAACATAAAATGGCAGGCTGCTCACTTTATCCATATACCAATGATGGGAGGTCACGAGCCAGGAGAATGTTCTTAAAATGGATATTTTCTAACATTTACATTTTCAAAAACTTCAAAATCAAATGTAGAAACACTAAATAACACATGTGACAAAATTTTATTGAACTGCATACTAAAAAAAAAAAAAATCTGATTAAATCTGACTGAGGTTTGTCCCTGAGTTAACAGTACTGCACCAAGATCATTTTCCTATATGTGACAATGTATTGTGATAATGGAGGATGTTATCACTGGGAGGAAAGTAGGCAGAAAATTCACTGTACTATTTTAACAATTTCTTGTGAGTCAAACTACTTCAAAATTAAAAGTTGTATTAAAAAAAAGCACATAAGGCTATGTTACAGAATGCTGGATTGGGTAAGGGAATGTGAGTTGACAGTGCTTTAAAAAACTCATCTTACACATCATCATAGTCTTTTTTTTTTTTTTTTTTTGGTGGGACTGGGGTTTAAACTCAGGCAGGGCTGCACATTTGCAATGCAAGCACTCTACCACTTGAGTCACACCTTCAGTCCAGTGTTGTTTCTTAAACTGAATGTTTTTGCTTTAATTCACCTATGGGGGGGGGAGGGAAGGGAAGGGGTTGGTGTTGACACAACACTAACCAATGAATTAAATTTTTATTCCCTTACCTAAAACACAAAATCCTGTCTGTAAGATATATCCAATTCATTCCTTCCCTTGCACCCTTTTTCCTGCTCTCAAAAATAACTATTTGAGTATAAGTTGTGTGCCAGAAATTGGTCCTGAGGACACAGCAGTAATCAAAACCTACAGTTCCATGGGAGAAAAACTAGCATCATGCCCTAATCCAAGGCTGTAAGGTTTATGGCTGACTCCTCTCTAACAAAAGACAGGTTCCCAAGAGAGAAAAACAATAAATTATTTAAACAGTCTTATGTGACATGGTCTTCAGATATGAACATCCAAAGACCCCAGTTAAACTTTGTATTCTATGCTTAGGTTTGATGAAAAATTGACAGTTATGTCAATTTTTTTTTTGACTGGACAAAAAGCATGTATATATACCATATATACCAGAGGGTATATGGTTCCAAGGAAACCACCAATGACAAAAAAAAAAAATCACAAATGCTCTGGATGCACAGACTTCAGTTCTGTACTGGGGATGCTTGAGTCATTTTTCCCATAATGCTGACCAACTTCCGCTAAAGGCATGCCACTTATTAACAAATCTAAAATTTTTACTTTATCACTTAAATTAAGAGCCTTTTTTGGCTTGGGAAGATTACCATACTTTTACTTTGCTTTTTTGAGCACCATTTGATTTTTGGGAGGCATATCATGTAACAGAGCAGCAGATCACACAATAACTTAAATACAACTGACAACACAGGACTCACTGAGAAATTCTCTGCATCAACTGAGTTGTGTAATGTGTGCATAGGAATTTAAAATTTTTGTTTTTGCATTTATTTTTATTTTATTTATTTATTCCATTTTTTTAAACCACACTTGGTCAAAACTGCATGTAATAAATCCATGAACAAGGCGGGCTTACTGTATAAGCTACTGATAATAAACTGAAGGGAATGTAGCAAGGCGTGTTTGTTCAGCTTTTTCTTTGGACCTCTTGTCCCTTCATTCCCTTCCTTTGGATGGAGGGCAGGATACCTGTCACAGAGGGTTGGCTACTTTCAGGGCAGGAAAGTCAGAGAGTTTTTTTCATGGCCTTAGGGGAAGAGGTAGGAGAAAGTCAGAAAAAAAAAAGTAGACCGCCAAAGAGATCTTTCTGCTTCAACTGTTTTCGCCTTGTCCTTCTGCTTAAAATACTCAGTGTGCCAAAGTGCCATATTTGGGGGCAGCTTTTCCTGACTCCAATCACACTTTGATGATGAAAGAAAAGGCAATAATTAATAAGTAAACATATATAGCTATCATACATATGCACTTCCTAAGTACTATAAAATAAAATAAAGCAGAGTAAGGGGAAAGGGGTAGAGAAGGAGTAGGGAAGGGGGACCGATACAGAGATCAGGATAGGCTTCTCTGATAAAGCTGACCTGAAAGAGGGGTGAGCCCTGTAGCCATCTGGAGGAAAAGAGCTCCAGGCAGAGGAAACTGGCCTTGAGGGAGAAACTCCATGGCCTGAGTGACCCAATAGGGCTACAGAAGGAGAGAAAGAGAGTAGTGGGAAATGGGAATTGAGGGGGTGGAATACTGAAGAGTAGGTTGTTAAGAAACTCTGAATACAGGAGTGGCATGATCTGACTTGCAGATTCAAGTGTTATCTCCTACAGTCTCCCCTCATACTCCTAGTTCAAACTAAAACCTGCCCTGCATTTTCTCAGCTGTATCACTTCACTCATGTCCTTTGTCTGAAATTCACTCTTTACTCACAGAGATTATTTTTCCTATCAACCATATATGTGCCCTTAAAGAATTAGACCAAAAGTATTCCGGTTTTCTGGATTCCTTCCAGCTGGGTGGCATCTCTTCTTTTAATACCAGTTCAATATCCCCTTTCCAGTCCCAACTCAGCCAATGCCTCTCTTGTGATAGGCAACCTTCTATTTGCTTCTGGGGTTTAGTTATGTCCTCCTTTTCAGTATAAGCTTAAAAAAACTGATTTTCAGCTGGGCATGATGGTGGCACACCTGTAGTCCCAGCACTTGGGATTATGAGTTGGAGGCTAGCATGAGCTATAAGCCAGACCCTGTCACAAAACAAACAAACAAACAAACAAAAAACTGTTCTTGTGTATTTTATACCTTTCATACCCATGCAGCAGCAAGTCAAAACTGTGCTGGTAGTAAATATGTGAGAGACTTTAAAACTATGAATTAAAAAAAAAAACCACTATAATGTTGGTTGAATACCATATTTTTAGAAAGCTGAAGGTTCACATACGGGAGACATAGGAATAGGTAGAAAACCCAAAACATGAAAGTGTTTGATGTCCCCACTCCAGAGGAACTAATACAGAAATGTTAAAATGACAGGTTATCTCACTAGCAGGGGATCAGAAACCAATGTAAAGATCAGTTAGAGATGAATCAACATGGGACGTAACACATGGGTACATGACAGCAATAGTAGGAATCTTTCTGTATAGCTATCCTTAACTCAACTAGCAAAAATGCTTTCTCTTTCTTATTATGCATATGTTTTTTTTCTTCAACAGAATCAGTCATAAGGGCAGAACAGGACCTGCCTGAAACTGAGGAGAGGAGTGGGGGATGGGTGAGGGAGGGGGGCAGGGTGGAGATATGACCCAATGTATGCACATAATAAAAAAGAAAAAAAAAAAGAAAGCTGAAAGTTGTGTAAAGGAAGTCTTAGGGCATACGGAATATAAAAAAATTGAGGGGCCAGGTGATAGCAAGGACAGCCTATACTAACACAGGGGCAACCAGATGGTAGTGTGGCATACAAGCCAAAACTTAAGCTCAAGATCCAGGGAGAAGGGTCCCAGGCTTCCTCAATTTCAGAAATTTGCAGGACCTCTCTAACAGCAAAAGGGGAAGAAGACCACAGATTACTTGTACCCCTTTCTACCACTGGCAATCCCAGATTACTCAACAAAGGTAGCCAAGGTCAGAGAATGACTTGCTGTCTTCCCAACTAACTATTCCTATGATTATGGGTAACTGACACTCTTTTAAGGAAGGAAAATGTTTGTACAGTATTAATAAAAATATTGTGGGCTACAGGTGTAGTTCAATAGTAAAGCACCAGCCTAGCATGCATGAGGCCCCATGCTCGATCCCCAGCATCACCAAATAAATAAATAAAATTTAAAGATTAAAAAACACTTGAGATGCATCAGTTTCAGTAAAGTATAACATTACCAATAATAGTGAGAAAACAGAGTATTGTGCTTATTACTTTTCATATATTGTCTTATTTTAAAATGTTCAACACCCTAAATTAGGTATTATTGTCTATATTCTATATGGACAATAATGGCCAGAGAGATGGTATAAGTTGCTCTTGATCTCAAACTTAATCAATGATAGAGCTGCAGTTTGAATCCAGGTCTGTATGACTCTAAAAACAAGGTCTCTGCAGGTAATTTATAAAGTTTACAATATCTTATCATTTTTCTTCCATGTGATCAGAGAGAAAGTATGAGAATCACAGGGCACTGAGAAGCCTAAGTG